GCCAGCATGCTGGCGGGGGAATTCTGGGAGTTGAAGTCCACACATCTTACTTTTGATGAAGTTGAGAAACACTGCGATACCTACAACAGTAAAGCAATCCTTGCCCTTTTTCCTGACCTGGCCTACCTAGAAGGGTTGGCACTGGTGCAGCCTTTGCAGCAGAATAGTGTGTGATGAAAGAGGCTGCCTGTTGCATCTCTGGAGGAGTTGCTTGTGTGAGCTTGCCCGCTTCCAGTCTGGTTTTCCCAGTGCATAATGAAAACCTCTCAGTTGTGACTAGGAAAAAGCAGGATTTTATAAGCCCCTGCGCTTATCCAGAGGTATCCTTTCTCCAACTCTCGCTGAGAGACGTGGTTTGTCTTGTAGTCTCCCTCTGAAGAGCTGGCAGGAGGGAACGCCATCTGTGACATTGCTGAGCGAGGTTTGGATGAAGCCCCAGGCCGGATCCTGGCATCGAACGAGGAGCTGGACGTGATGAAGGGAGAGCAAGGGAAGCTGAGCGGCTCGATCGGTAGGTCTTCGGCTCGATTCCTTTTTCCCTCTCTAGAACGTTAAAATACGCAGCTGGGGTGTGAGATTGTGATTCAGTGCGCTGCACACTCCTGGCAGACACGCCCTGCAGAAACCACGCCATGCAAGCTGTGCGATTCCAGCCACAAAGTTTGCGCTGCTGAAAAACATACCAGGCCAACCCCAGAAAGAGGCAGGGAGCGTATACAGCATGGGGCAGTTCTGGCAAATGAGCAGGAAAGCAGGACGTCCGTGAAAGAACCTGTATGGGGTTCATTAGGATCTTCATCGCTTGAGAGGGTTAGACTAAGATGGCGGCCGAACGTTGTGTGTTTGGCCCAATAGAAATTCGGTGGTGGTGGTCTGTGATAAATTCTCACGATCCCTTGAGTGACCCAAGGCAGGGGTAATTCACCCTAGTTTGGCTTGCTTGCTTGCTGATTGATTGATTGATTGATTGGATTTCTCCCCCACCCATCTCCCCCACAATAGGGGACTCTGGGCGGCTTTTAGGTGTATTGGGGCTGTAATGCCCAGAATTCCCCCACTCTCATGGGAATTCTGGGAATTGTAGGCCCAACCCCTCGGGAGCCTACAAGGCCTTAAGAAGAAAGATGTAGGGCACCACTACTCCTACCTACCTACCTACCTACCTACCTACCTACCTCTCTCTCTCTCTATATATATATATATGTATGTATGTATGTATGTATGTATGTATGTATGTATATTTTTATTACTACTCATTTCTGTGAAAATACTGCGATGATTTCAGGGTGGCAGTAACCTTTCCCATGTAATTCATATGCCATTCTCCAACTGCGTTTTTAAAAAAATCTCTTCGGTCAGGACCAGGACCTGAGATCTGCAAGGAAGAGAAGGAGAAGGAGAAGGACAGGACTGAGGGGCCTATTGAACAGTTCACTGAATGTTCAGACGCCAGAGAACAGCCTGTTTTGGCCCCGGATCCTGATTCCAGCAGTAAGCGGAGACGTGCTTCTAGGAAATCCACCCCCACCCCCGGAGGGGCTTGCCCTCCCAGTTTCTCTATCCCCCCCTCCCCAATTTGCTGTTCAGAACTAAGAAGGGCTCTGTCGTGAAATGTTTCAGCAAATCTACCTACTTTGGATTGAGGGCTGTGGTTTTTTCTGGAATTTGGGCCACCGGCCTTTCCCAAACAAAAGGCTGGAAAACTGCCAAGGAAGAGCTATGTTATTTCATGATCTTGGAGAGGGGGGTGTTGATGGGGATTTGAAAAAAAAGAACTGGTTCTTCCAGGCTTTGCTAAGGCTTAATGCACTGAGGGAGGCCCCCCTGCCAAAAAGGAAGAGGAAAATGTCAGGACGCCCCCGGCCCAGCCACCTTTTATGCCCCTCCTCTAAGCGTTAAAGGTTGACTTCACTCCCACAGCGGAGATGAGCCATTGCAACAGGCTAAGCCAAGCCTCCCCAAGCAACTTTGCGATTCCTTTTAGCTGCGTCTGGGCTGTGGAAGGCCAGAGAGCAGAAGCTCCCGTTGGAGAGAGAAATCCTGCTGCTGACTGATAGGCTTTGCCTTCCGGATGTGGAGAGAAAAACCTGTGACTCGTTACCCAGCACAGATGCAGCCGAAGACTTCGGAGGCTGCTTTGGACATGTATGTAACATCTCTGTCCCTCTCTCCCCCCCCTCTTTTTTTTCCCCTGGGAGGCTCAGAGCATTCCCAGTGGACTCCTTCCATTTGCATCCTCCCAGCAACCCTTTGAGGAAACCACTGGGTTGGTTGACACAATAGGCATTTTGGGGGATCCCAGACAGGCCTTTAGGATATAGGGTGAGCCTTGGCTAGACAAACCACACATCCATTGCCTCCAGGTTAGGAAGGCGGCTAAAGCGACACACGGAGCAATGGGCAGGCCAGCCCCTCCAGTGCACGGGGCTGATCTCATTGCAGTCCTACCCATCATGGACTGAACTGGGTCTCCTGGAGGGGCGGGATGAGAAGGACTCCGCTCTGTAATGCTGTAGAGCAGTGTTTCTCACCCATGGCCACGTTAAGATATGTGGACTTCAACTCCCAGGCTTCCCCAGCCAGCAAGGTTGGCTGGGGAATCCTGGGAGTTGAAGTCCACATGTGTTAAAGTGGCCAAGGGTGAGAAACACTGCTATAGAGAATCTTTGACCGTCTTTCCCTAGCTCCACGTATCAAATATGTTGGACTACAACGTTCTGCGGCTGGCAGCTGTGGGAGTTGTTGTCCGACATACCGGGGGGAGGTGGGGGCACCAGGTTGGCCGGTATCGGCAGTGCTGTTAGATGGACTGATGGTTTGAGTTGAGGTGCCAGAGCTCCTGTGTTCTCAGATATTCCTCAATCACAGGATGGAAAGGGGAGAGTTGTGGAGGCAGAAGGAGCCGTGTGGGAGGAAGCCCCCCCGGATCCTGCAGAGCGCCAGACCCTTCATAAAAGGTAAACCGCCTCGGTGTTCCGAGATGGAGCCAGCTCTCCTCCCGCCTTGATCTCTTGCAAATCCTCTTCCTCCTCCTGTGAGGCATCATCTCTCCTGCGATCACAGTTCCTGCAGGCCCTCACGGCGGCTGGATTCCCACAACCCGCTTCCTCAGGTCAGTAGAAGACCTGGTGTGCCAGGGTTGAGACCGGAGGGTTGTAGGGGAGCCTCTGCCTCTCACGCCAAAGGGACAGGGCCGGGAGCTCCAAGGCCAAGAGAGATTCAGAAAGCCAGGAGGGCAGGTTTTCTGTGCGCTGTGATAGGCCAAACTTCCTGTTCTGCTGCTAGGGGTGTGTCAGTACACAAATATGTACTTAGGCAGAGGATGCCACCGTGAGGAATCAAGGGCCAAGGTGAAAACAAAGCGTTTTGAGGACAGAATATCACTTCTGCCATCAATGCTGGTTTTAATGGGAGGAGAAGCTGAGAGATGGCGATTGGCCAAGGGCTGCCGCGGTGGGCCTCTTCAGCGGCTCCTCGCTCTCCCTCTGCTGGGAGCCTCCTGCTTTGTTCTAGGTGTTGCCAAGGCGTGGAGGACGTGGAAGAACAGAGGTTCCAGCTGCTGCCCGAGCATCAGGCCTTGGAGGGGCAGGAGGAGCCCCCGCTAAGAGAGACCCAGGACGAGCGTCGGCAGGCAGGCAGGGAGGTGGGGGAGCTGCAGGAGGAGGTAAATTGGGTGGCCAGGATCCGCCTCCCATTCACTTCTCCCTTCCCGTGCCGCACCCCAGCCCGGCTCACCCCACTGCAAGCTGGGTCAGGTCAGCCCGCCATGCAGACCTTTTCCAGATTCGGAGAGGAGGCAGCCCTGGCATATGATGCAACAAACATGGGTCTTTCTTTCCCCTTAAGGTGGAGTCTCCTGTGCAATATTTCTATTCATAACAGAAATTCCTGGCATACCTTTTTTTAAAAACGCATATTTCCCTGATCTGGCTTTTGGGGTTTTTTGTGTTTTTCTTTTTAAAACTCTAGTGTAGAATGTGTTCTTCTGGGAGGAGAAATCCCTTCCAGTTTGCAGTTTTGGTTTGTGGCAAATTTTTGATAAGAGAAAGATGGACGTTCACGGGACCCGTTCAGTGCTGGGCTCCCAGTTCTGGCTTCGACAGTGTTTGCGGTTCTCCCCTGGAAGTCTGTCACAGGCTTTGTGGGTCTCCTAAGTAGTAGTTGGTCTTCACTAGCCAAGGGGAAACTGTTGGGGTCTGAAATCAGTCCGTTTTGCGTGCAAATCTTGCAGTCTTATGCCACCTTAGAGGAGGTGGGGCGGGGAGGAGATGGCAATGCTGGAAGGACTTTGTGGGAAACAGCGTCTCACAGACTTATTTCCATAGCTGCCATTTAAGAATAAAATTGGTGCACCTATAGACCCCCTCCCGATCAAAATCTCCCCTTTAGAGTCGGCGTTGTGCAAAGTCCAGGGGATTAAATCTACCATGCGTGAGGAAGAAACAATGAAAGAAACAGTGGGTTGACAAGAGGCAAGGAAGAGTGTCCCGTGGGGGTCTGTGTGCCTCGGATTGGGGATGAGGCAGGTGACCCTGGAGCCCCACGGCGGGCACTGGACGGCCTCCCAAGTGTTTTGGAGAGGCAAGTCTTTGTGATGCTGACAGCTCCAGCATAGAAAGCAGTGCTGGAAAATAGCATCAGAGGAAAGCAGCTTTGAAACGAGGCCTAAAAAAACCCAGATTCTGTCCGTGGACACTTCTAAGAATTAGGTGCAACCTGGCAGGAAGTCTTGCCACGTTTCCTAGGACTCTCTGTCTGGAAGTGTGGGTGGCCGGGCCTCGCAGTCTTCCTGGTCTGGTTTTGCTCTTTGCTCCTTGGGGTGGTTTTCTTAACCTCAGAAGGCAGAGTCAGGGTTAGAACTGCAAGGTCTGTAGACCAGGAAGAGTCTGGAGATGCAAAAAGGACTGGATCCTTTCCAGCCATCGTGCTCTGATCCAGGCCCTGAAGCACAATAGAATCCAGAAAATCAATAGGTGCCTCCAAGGAGATGTCTCAAGGACACACAACATTTACAGTGCAATCCTAGGTTTGCCTGTTCCTCATTAATCCTGGTTGGGTTCAGATGAATGTCTTCCCTAGGTTCCCAGTTCTGATTTGATCGGTCCCTCGCCAGTTTTCTTGTCTGTTTAACCAGGAGCTGCGCAACTACAAGTCGGAACTTCTTCATCTCTATGGCGAGCTCCAGGGGTTTCAGGGAGCAGCAGAGGAGAGTGGTTTTCTGCACCTGACTCACAAGAAACTACTGCAAAAGAACGCACTGCTTGAAACCAAGGTGAGCCCTGCAGTAATTAATGCCAGCGGGGTGGGGATGTGCGCGGAACAAAGTTTTGTCCTGAGCTCAGAGCAAACCAGCCCCCTCAGAATAGTCTGTCTGTCCTGCGTTCTGATGGAACAAAACTCAAAAGGCTCTTCCAGAGAAGACAACGCAAACTCAAAAGTAGGTAGTGCGGTAGTCCACACTCAGTGCTACCTGCCACCAAATTCTACCAAAATACTGATCAAAAGGATGATTTTCTTAAAATACGATGCAGATAAGTACAAAAATGGTGCTTATTTTGGAACGCTGTATTGTTTGCTCTGAGGGTTTTACAACTGAAAAACTGTAAACCATTCCCCCCAGTTAATTTTTCTGTAGATGAAGACTTTTGCGTGGCATGAAAAACAAAGGAGCGAGAAGCTTGTTTTTAGCTTCCATTGTGTCGCCTTACAGTACAATTCTCAGAACACCGTAGCACAGTGTTTCTCAATCTTGGGCCCTTGAAGATGGGTGGACTTCAACTCCCAGAATTCCCCAGCCAGCATCGCATAAAACACCCCATCTTGTTCTGAGCTCGAAACAACCATTCCCAGTTTTCTAAACTTGGGAAATACTGTCCTTTTTACAAAACATAAATCAGTGTATTTCTCTTGAGCTGAAGCCCTGTGGCATGTTGTCTAACACTGGTCAGGACGAAATAAGGGAGAAGGGCCATATTTATCATGGGGATAAATTTCCCCGGGCCCTTATTTACATGCGTACCTTCAGTCCAGGGTGGGTCCCTGCACCGAGGCAGCAATAAACGTGCTTCTTTTGCAGACACGAACCCAGGCAATATAATTCAAATCAACACCGCCATAGGTTTGCTCCCCTAAATCTGCAGGTATTAGAGCTGTCCCACGAATGCGAACGCCTGAACCAGCGTATTATGGGAGAAAGGAAGAAACGGGAAAGGTTTTTGGCAAGCAGGTTGTCGTGCCCTGAACTTCCAGCAACAGTGCAGGTTTGCGAAGATCAGACCGTGACCCGGGGCGGAGACCGAGAGCAAACATGGTAATTTGAACCCTCTACCTTTGGATGTTTTTAGATTGGAACATTAAAATACTTTAAAAGAAACTGGCCTGCCTGGTACTGAACTGGGAAGAGGTTCAGCTAAGTCAAAAGGAAATTACTTCCTACATCGTGTTCCTCTTTCAGATGGCACAGTGTATTTGCACAAGCATAAACGTTAAATTTGATTTATACACCGAGTCTTACCCTTGTTTGTTCCAGGCAATAAAAGTGGAAGTTTTATCACAACTCTTTTTCCCCTGCTCTGTCCCTGAAAAGGCTCCCAGATGTCAGAGTAATATCCAAGGCCTGTGCGCTCAGTCTGAAAAAGATGGGATGCAAGGAAAAGGGGAATTGGAGGGAGAAGGCAAAAGAACTGGAGAGTTCAGGAAGCACAAGGGGGTGGCTGCTGATCTCTCAGTAAAGGGAAAGAATCATTCTGCTTCTCCAGAGCGATTCAGTCTTGGCTGTTGGTGGGGCTGGGAGAGCAGGGCTGGGGGTTTCTGGCAGAATCCTCTGGGAGAGGAGGAACAGGGCCCCTCTGCCCACTTTCTGAGACTCCAGGGCGTCTGGAGCAAATCCTCCTTCCAGTTTGTTCCTTGGCTTTAGGCCTGGGCTGGAGGAGGTGGGGAGGGTGTGCTGGCACTGTCCCATTCTGACATCATCCCCTGACATCGTGTCTGGCCCAATGGGGCCTGGGAGCTGCCACTGGGCCCCCAACAGCAGGGCTGCCGCAGACACCGCTCTTCCCTTGCCCTCCCAAAACAGGCCCCGGAACCAGGATTGAGGCACGGCTTTGTCCTGTGGCTTCAGGGGCTCAGGGGGGAGGAACGCCCCACAACTTGCTGTCGGGGAAAGCCTGGGTTCGGGGGCTAACATTTCCCCTCTTCTCTTTCTCTCTTGAAAGTCTCTCCTGCCACTAAGGAGAAGGAGTGATTTAAAACATCCCTCTGTGTTTGTCGCTTTCCGGGGTCTGGTGGGGCTACGGCTCCCAGAATTCCCAGGCAGCGTCATCGTCTGCAGCTGTTAACCCACCTTAGCGCATTGTGCAAACCTGGCCAGTCGGCCGGGAACCTGGCTGGCAGCCTTTGCAGTTTAGTAGCTGCGAGGCGAGGCTCCCTCTGGCCATACGCAGGCTGACAGGAAAGGGCTCCTGGGATCCGCTTCCTTGCATGACGCCCCCCTTCTCTGTCTTTCTCCCCCCCCCCCCCATCCTTTGACATCCAGCATTCAGTTGTTAGAAACCAGCAAGATGGGAGAAACAGAGAAGCAGGCCCAGGGCAGGCAGGAAGAGGAGGCTCAGCTCCTGAAAGACATTCTCACTTTGCAGCATCAGCTGTGCGCCCACCGAGACAAACCCGCAACCGGCTTTGGGCCGACTCCGCCCTGCAAACTGCGGGTCTCCCTGGGAAGTGGCTGGGGTGACACGGAGCAGGTAAAGGGGAGTGCTGTGTCGCCGGAAAGGAGCTTGGGACAGGGGGGCGTGGCTTTTCTTACAGCCTCCCCTCTGCACACAGCCCCCCCCCCATGAAGGGCTCCTGCAGCAGCAAGGAGAGCTGCAGCGGCTGCCGTGGGACCCCCGGGGGGTCCCC